AGAAAATATCGGGAGCAAAAACCTTTTCCCCAAAACTGCTTGGGTACTCTCTCTATTGCCCCAATCACGAGCAAGCGGTGAACTTCTTGTCTCAGCCGTTGCTCGTGAGAGGGGTCCCTGAAAAGGGACGTGGTGGGTGGGATGGGAGAGGGAATGGAGAAAAAGGGAAGAGAGAGGCCGGACTGTACCACCTCTAGTAACCATCTGTCTGTGGCGATGTTGGACCACTGATGGTGATATGATTTCAGTTGATGGTGAAAGAGATGAAGAGTTTCATTTTCCGCGTTGACTATGGAAGGCGTGCTTGCATCCTCGATGGAGAAGTCAAATCTGTTGTTTGGCTGAAGATTGATTGGCTGAACGATTTTGTTGGGGCCGTTTCGGCTGAGGATGTTGTCTAGGGAGCTGGTTCTCTGAAATACGTGTCTGTTGTCTGGGAAAATTAAAATCATATCTTCGCTGATAAGGGTAATAGCGCCTACGCTTAAAGGAAGGCGTGTACATCCCCAGTGTACGTAGGGTGGTGCGAGAATCTTTGCCCGAATGGAGGACTTGATCAGTGTTTGCTACGAAAATCTTAAGCTTATCAAAAGGCTGATCCTTAACTTTGCTTTGTAGCTCCTTTGGTGCTACTGCAGATGAGAGCCATGACGATCTCCTCATTGCGATACCCATAGCCGTGGCTCGCGCCACTGTGTCGGCAACATCCATTGCAATCTGCAATGCAGTGCTGCAATCTGCAATGCAGTGCTACAAGCTGCGTATCCTTCCTGTACTATTGCCTTTAGTAGTGGTTTCTTACTGTCTGGAAGATGATGTAATAACTCCGCTAGTTTCGAATAATTATCAAAATTGTGGTTTGATAAATGGGCCAAGTAGTTTGCGATGCATAATAGGAGTGTGGCTGAAGAATAGACCTTCCTACCAAATATGTCTAATTTTATATTGTCTTTATCGGGGAGCGCACTTTTGTACTGCGGTGCTTTAGTCCTTCTCTGTGTTGCGTCAACTACTAACGAATTAGGCTGAGGGTGATTGAATAGAAAATCCAACCCCTTTGCCGGCACAAAGTATTTCCTATCGGCCTTTCTACTCATAGGAGTAGCCGATGTTGGCGTCTGCCATATCTCATCCGCCACTTCCATGATCGCTTCGTCAATTGGTAAGGCGATCCTTGCACGCTGTTGCGGATGGAGATTCTTTAAGAGGCGGTGCTTTTTAACCAGAACATCTGCCAGTTGTATTTCCTGCATGCCTGCTACTCATTTAAACAGATCTTGGAATTGTTTTAGGTCGTCAAGTGGAGATAATTTACCTGGGCATATTGCCTCATCTGGTGATGAAAATGTGCAGTCCGCTGGAGAAGTTTCTGGCTTGGGGTCCTCTGCTTCAGACAGCTGTCCCTCTTCTGGCTCGGACTGGTCTTTTTGGATAGTTGGACTCATCGATGGAGGAGGAGAGTTTAACTGTTGCAGTTGTTGAGGTAAGTATTGCTCAGTTGGTGATCGGCAGTTGCAGGAAGATCCCCAATGCGATGACAACATATGTCCATGGTGGGGACGATCATCGTACAAGCTATGATAGTGCCCATAGTAGCGCTCAGAACGTGATGGGGAAGAATGACGTGACGAGCGTGCACTACTGTGTTGCATGTAATAGACGCATCATGGACAGCATCTAGAGGACCCGTACCTAGATGACCGACTGGGTGAGCAAGATCGTGAGCAGGACCGGCACGCTTCTAGATATCCTGTCTCTGTAATTGCGCCATCTGTATGTGACATGGACCGGAGAGACACTATAGTCACGGTACTGTGTATGCCTTGGTGGCGATGGAGATGGTCCTGGCGAGAAAACTGGGGAGGCAGACTTCTCCCCTATGTGAGTTTTTGACAGTGCTTTCCTAAGCATTGAGGCACTGTCAGTTTCCATGGCAACTGGAGAACTCTGCACCGAGTGAAAACAGAGCGGTGCTGGGGAGATCAGCTGCAGCTGCTCTGCTGTCGGTGCCAGCAGAATACCCGGTGCTGACGTTGCTAAAACTGCTGATGGTGCCGTGTCAAGGACCTGCACCCCTGAATCCAGTGCCGTTGAAGATAGTGGTCCTGAAGCAGGTGCTGTCACAAGCGGCGCCACCGGTGCCGCTGAAACCGGCGCCGGCTGGCTTGTCAGTTGCAGCGTTAGTGCTGTACTGCAAGCCGGGGAAGCAGAAGCCGGTGCCAATTCGCTTGTCAGTTGCAGAGCCGGAGCCAATGCCGGCACCAAAGCAGCCCGAGCCCTCAGCATTTGCGATTCCCTGTCGCTGGGGCCAGTAGAGCGTTGGGACCCCGCGGGGGTCACTTTGGAGGCTGCCGAAGCTCTTGAGGGTGCCGGGGGGAGGGAGCGCGTTGGGGACGGCTTCACCCTCTTTGAAATCGCTGGTCCCTGAGAAGCCGCTCCCCGTTTACAAATGGAGGTTTTTGCAGTGGCTGAGGGGGGCATCGGGTCAGGCTACCTTGCCAAAGGACATAATTCGAACCTTTATCTCCTGCTCCTTCCAGGCCCTGGATATGAGCTTGCAACAGTGGGTGCACTTTTGAGGGACGTGTGATTCACCCAGGCACCTAATGCAAGCATCATGGCCATCAGCCACTGGCATAGCTTCCCGGCAAACTGAGCATTTTTTAAAACCGGGAGACCCCGGCATTGCTAGGAGCCGGTGAGGGTGGCTGGATGCCAACCCTGCTTGATCTCTGTCTTTCGCTCCTTGTCAGTTTCAGTTTTTTAGCGCTATGCTTGAAGAAATTGATTTGAAGAGAAACTTTTTTTTTTTTTTTTTTAACAGAAGATCAGTAGAAACAGTAGAACAGGAACACGACTAACACTAACTTTAACTATATTACAGTGAAGAAAACTAAGATCGTTGCTAAGAGAAGAGATATGAGAACACAGGGAGCTCCGACCGCAACCTGAGGAGGTTGAGAGGAACTGACAGTTGCCAGCCCGCACGCGGCTGATCAAAGGCGCGAACGGCGCTTTGGAGGAGCCGCTCACGCGCGGGCTGGCGAAGCACAGCTATGAGAATTCTCCGAGCCGCAGCGCCAGGACGAGACCCAACTCCTAGAGTGGAGCACCCACAGGGCCACTCGAAGAAGAACCACCAAATCTTTTTCAGTTACCGGTTTCTAGGATAGCATTCAGAATTCTGAAGGCATGGCTGACGTTCTTTGTTCCTAGATGCATACATTTACATTGAGCTGTATTAAAATGAATACTGTTTGCTTGGTCCCAGTTTACCAAATGATGCTGATTTCTCTAAATCAGTGACCTGTTCTCTTCATTATTTAACATTCATCCCACTCACCCTGCAAATTTTATCAGTGATAGTTTTATGCTTTCTTCCCAGGGCATTGATAAAAATGTTAAACAGCATATGGTCAAGAACCAATTGCTGTGGGACCCTACTAGAAACAGACCCATTCAGTAAGCCTTTCCCATGTATGGTTTTTCTAGATCTACCAATTAATTTAAATTAATTTAATGTATGACATTAATTTTATATTTTAGTTTTTTAATCAAGATGTGCAGTACAAAGTCAAACTATTTACTACAGGGCTATGAGAAAAGCAAACAAAGGCAATAAAATCTGTCTAGCTAAGGACAACATCCCAGCAAATACTAAGAAGCAGCAGCTCCTCTCTGAATATCATGAACCCTTTTACAGAAGGGAACTGAGGCCCAGAGAAATTTTATTTCACCCAAAGTCATACATAAAGTCTGTGGCAGAACCAGACTAGTATCAGATTTAAAAAAAACAAAATAGTTAAGCACCAAATACCTTTTAAAAATGCTGCACTGAACCTAATCTCCTGGGTTCCAGTTCAGCCTTAACCACAAGCCCAGTGCCACTAGCAGATGGCCTACCCAAATTCAAGTACTGAAGGACTCAAATTTAATTCTTTTTTGGAGATATTTTTTCATGCTATACCCAGGTGCCACTACCACCTTTATCTTAACACTCTTGCGGAATGCTTGCACCTGTTGGAATAATTTAGTTCAAAGGGGAAGGATTTGTGCCATACTTAGACTGAAACAGGTTCACATGAACAAACCATAGCACATTGGTCTAACAGTTATTGTTTGGTCTGAATCTGGCCTAAAAGTAATATGTAGTGATAGTTGATCTGATTTAGAAAGAACTGAAGCAACTGAAGGCAGACCACTGTTTTTGCAAACTTAAGTCATCAAGGTTTTTCCAATGTTCCACAGTTACCCTAAGTAATGCTAAGATGAAGCTTTGTACAGCAATTCATAAAGTTTAATTTAAAAGTTTTTGCTCTGCTAATGGAAGCAGTATGGCTAACCCTTATATTATAAAGCACAGAGGGACCACTCCAACACATTTTAGTCTATATAACAGTGTGACTGACAGTAGGAACACACTCTTCAAATGAGGAAATATTTTGACTGTTTTAGATTTGCTAGCAACCTCTTTCAATCAGTTGAACCACCAGTGACTGCTCATTGTAGAGACTTTTCTTTTAATGTGAATTTAAGACCACATTGGTTGTAATTTTAAAATTTATCTTTGAACTTATGGCGTTAAATTGTGGTTTCCCTGTATGAACTGCAGAATGAGAAGTAGAATGCTGTGTAGATACAAAATTTGAATGCGCAACTTTATCTTAAAAAATGAGCCACAGATATCCGCATCAATATCTAAGGATATGGGTACCTGCAGATAAAAAGTGGCTATCCATGCTTTTGTAGGACTCTAATGAGAAGTAAACAACACCACATACTATCTACAAGTGTGGGCTGCTTAGAAACATGGAAGGGACACAATGACAAACTGATTATGTGGATCATTAATTTTTTTGGTCAATATCAAAGACAAAAAAAGTAAGTGGAATTGGAATACTGGCCAAGGGTAACTATTTAGAAACAAGTTAGCCCAAACCCTGTACAGCAGTCAAAATCTACAACAAATACTCTTAGAAGTATGAATAAAACTCACAAAATTATTCTTCAATTATTTATTTTTGCAGAGTCCAGAAGAAGTCATGAAATCCTTAAGTCATTTTATAAACTTTATGCCTGAAACAGTTTCAGTACAATTTGTAAGCCTGCCCCAAAAAATTATGAACAAGGCAGAAGTTTTCAGTGTTCTACTTACTGGTATGCAATGTATGGATTGGGTATGTCCACACTGCAATAAAAAAACCCCACAAGACCAAGTCTCAGGCCATGTCTACACAGGTGGAGAAATATGATTTAAGATAAAGAACCCCAGCTATGAAAATAGTGTTGCTGGAGTTGACATACCTTAAATTGAATTTCTCTGGTGGTCAGAGGTCAATGGGAAAACTCCCTGTCAACTTCCTTTACTCCTCATGACTCAGTTGAGCACTGGGGTTGATGGGAATGCCATCAGCATTTGATTTAGCGGGTCCTTACAAGACCCACTAAATCAAACCCTGGAAGCTCGATCTCCAGGTAAGTATAGACAATGCCTCTGAGTGCAGGTCAACTGACTCAGGCATTTGGGCTCAAAACTGCAATGCAGGCATTTGGGCTCAGGCTGGAGTCTGGGCTCTTGACACCCCAGGAGGGGATGAGTCTCAAAACAGGCTCCAGCCTAAATCTGAGACAGCTGACCCAGATGGCTACAGCTGTGCCATGAATCTTTGATTGCAGTATGGATGAACCCTTTATGGTTAAAAATATAAACTCAGTATTACTTCAGTGCCTAAAATCGAGAACACGCCCAAACAGTCCGAGCTGACTAAAACATGGAAAAAGCTTAAGGTACATAATCTACTACTAAGGCTTTATCTGAGTACCCCACTTATCCCCACTGCTGACATTACGGCCATCTCTTTTTCCCACAGCACTGCTTAGCTTTGCTCAGTTTCTTTTGCTTTGTACCTGCTGGTAAACATGCAAATCAAGTTTAAAACTTAAATCAGATCTCTGCTTAAAAATATAAAATATATTATATATTTATGTATTTAAAAAAATAATGCTTTCAACGGGACTAAAAAAACTGAAATAAGATGACTGGTGCCTGAATTGTCTTGGAATACATTTTTCCAATGTGTGATACATAAGAACAGCTATACTGATTGAGAATAAAGGTCCATCTAGTGCAGGGCTACTCAACATGCGGCCCACAGGCCACATGCGGCCCATTTGTTTGCGGTCCGTGGGGATGTGGTTTGGGTTTGCATGGGGCTCAACACGTGGCCCGCAGGTGGGAGCCAAAACAAAAAAGTAGTCAATATATCGGTCTTCTGTTGATATGTGTTTTAGTAGTTAAATTCCTGGACTGTCATTGCACATTACAAGTACTGTCATATGGGTGGAAATTGGGTAAAATATTGCATTTTATTAAAATCAGCAGAACTGATTTAAATGGGGCCTGTGTATTCTGCAGTCTTGCCTTAATCTTTGTATTCATGCCTGTCAGTGTGAAAAGCTATTTGCATATATATATTTGCATGTATATGCAACCACACTTAAGTTGCAGACCTCAGCATGTGCAGTATCATCATGGCCCCCAGGGCTTCCAAAGTTGAGTAGCCCTGATTTAACGCACTATCCTGTCTTTTCCCAGTGGCCATTGCCAAGTACCCCACAAGGAATGAACACAGAATGGGTAATCATCAAGTAATCCATCCCTGGTCATCCATTTCCAACTTCTAACAGGTTATGGATACCATCCCTATCAATACTAACAGCCACTGAAGGACCTAGCCTCCATGAATTTAAGCATTTATTTTCTAAACCTGTTACAGTTTTCGCCTCACTACATCCCCTGGGGCAAAGAGTTCCACAGGTTGACTGTGCGTTGTGTGAAGAAATACTTCTTTTTGTTTGTTTTCTATGACCAATCAGTATCTATTTCTGACTCCTTACATATTATTTTAATTAATAAGGAACAGTTTCATGCTGCAGATATATAATTAATTTTTATAAATATATGGCATTCATAACTCTTCCTTTCATTTCAAACATACCATCAATATCCATCAAAATAAAGAACCAAAAGTACATGAAGTCAAGAGGGGAAACAGGAGCATCACTGGTATATGCTCAGACACTGCCAACCAAGATATTACCATATAAGAGTACTAGAATGGCAGGTTTCAGTCTAGCATTTCCAGAGATCGTGATGATGGATGGATGACTTAATTACACAAGAAGAAAGTATGAATACAAAAGTCCACTGAATAATGGTAAACAAGTACATATCTGACAGTTCAATGTAGAAGGGATTGCATCACCAGCATAAATTATAGAAGATGAACACTTACATTAAGTACTCTGTAGTTTACAGGGAACAAGCTAAATTGGCAAAGTGATGTTTTTCAAGTCAACTGAGTTACAAGTTGCCATCCAAGATTTTAATAAATATTTGTGCTTGTGCATCATACACAAACATGCTAAAGCTGAAAATATTTTTCTGCTAGGCGTTCCAAGTGCTAATAAGTATAATCCCCTTCAGTTCTGATTTCTATAGTGTATATTATAAAAAAAGTATACTCAACTCAGTTGCTTCCCAGCATCCCAGCCTGCAAAAATGCTATAAAAAATGACTTAATATGAAGGTTCACAAGAAATGAACTCTTCAGTTAAATTAATCATAGGCTCAGGTAAGCAATGATAAGCCTAGTCCTCCATTAAAGAGGATCAAATACCTCTGCAGAGTAAAAACATTAAACACGTGTTGTGAATAAGTACTATTAATTCATCATCAGTCAAAAATATATCAGATTTCTGATGTGTTATTTTTGTCTTCACATAAAAACAGCTACATTTGGATGTTCAAAAATCAGTGTGTGCCTACAGCTAAGACATCATTAATTACAATGTGGGGAGAAGTAAAGATTGTTCAGTTCCCCAAACGTTAATCTAATAATGTACACTGACTGTTGATTATTGTTGGTCTATTAAACCTATGAGCCACTAATGCTTCAAAATAAGCATTGCTGCTGAAGTGCGGTTGCGGATACATCCAAATGAACTGTTTCAATGACTTAACAGCACTTTGATTTTGCCTTGCTCGATTCTCCACCACAGGAGGAGGGTCAGTCTCTCCAGTTTACAGTGAAAAATAAAACAAGGCAGTTACGAAGATCACGTAACACAGAGTTCTGAAGCCCAGAGTGGAGGTTTACTGCTATATGGAAGTCTCCTGCTGGTTAATGGAGCACAAGTGGCAGCTGCTGCAACTGATTCCTCTTCTTCTTGATCCTCCTGTACCTCAGTGAGACCTTCCATCTCTTCAAATGGATTTTCCAAGCGTTTCAAAACCTCTCTTACCTAGGATTGAGATAAGAAACTTAAAAAGTAAAAACAAACTTTGATGGGTTCCAACGAATCTGAAAAACAGTATTTAAGGGATAACCAGCCTAGGAAGAGTCATAAATGCAAGGGCTACGTCTAGACTGGCATGATTTTCTGGAAATGCTTTTAACGGAAAAGTTTTCCATTAAAAGCATTTTCGGAACAGAGCGCCTAGATTGGCACGGACGCTTTTCCGCAAAAGCACTTTTTGCGGAAAAGCGTCCGTGCCAATCTAGACACGCTTTTCCGCAAAAAAGCCCCGATCGCCATTTTCGTGATCGGGGCTTTTTTGCCGAAAAGACGATAAAATAATCGCAGCTCTCCATTTTCAGTTTAGGTGATATCAGTGTATCTATCACATGTTATTTCATCTTGGCTGTGTCTATACTGGCCCTTTTGCGCAAAAGGACTTTTGCCCGAACGGGAGCAGCATAGTATTTCCGCAAGAACACTGACAATCTTACATGAGATCGTCAGTGCTTTTGCAGAAATTCAAGTTGCCAGTGTAGACAGCTGGCAAGTTTTTCCAGAAAAGTGGTTGATTTTCCTGAAAAACTGGCCAGTCTAGACATAGCCAAAATGAAACTGAAAATGGAGAGCTGTGATTATTTTATCATCTAGTGTAGTCTGCATGGATCTCAGTATGGGTAACAACAAATAAGTTTATATCCTTCAAAAGAATTTTCTGACCCTTCATATTATATTTTTTCCTCTTTTAATTTTGCCGCATGTTATGCTACATGTAATCTGTTTTGTAAAATTCCATAAGAGGATTTCCTGAAATATCACACATATATAGCAATGTTAAAAAGTAATATTGTACCTCCGTGAAGTCTCCATTTTCAGCTGCTTCAATGGCATTCTGAGCAATGTAATTTCTCAAGATATATTTTGGATTGTTTGAATTCATAATTTTCACACGTTCGGTATTCCAAACCTCAGCATCACTAACACTTTCTATCTCTTTTTGTAATCGGACTCTGAAAATAAGCAAGAAAAAACAAATTAAGATTTTTGTTTGGTTCAAGATTCGGTTTTTAAAACGTGGACCCATTTTCCTGAATTAGCAAGCGTCAATGGGAATTTCAAGATGAGAACATGGTCTATCATCCTCCCTATTGGTTTGAAAAGTTCAGCAATTCGCTAACTTTATCTACAAAAAACTCTATTTCCCACCTCAACTAAGAACCAGTTTCAGAGTCCATTAGATGCAGCAAGCTGAAATACAGCATGTGCCAAGCATACACATTTCCTATGAAGGCTTCACACTTTTGAAAATATCACGTCTTATTTGAAGCCTTAACAGATAAAACAAGCTGCACTGGTCATCATATGAATGTTCCTGCACTTTGAGAACAAACTCTCAAGCTTTTTTCTATGCACTTTTATTCTGTATTTAAGTTCCATGCATGGTTACAATGAGAGAGAAATGGAATACAGTCAAGAATCAGTTCTATGACTGGTATTTACTCCTGCTACAATTCTCAAATATAGTGAAGGGGGATAATTGCAGAGAGCCAGCAGTGACTGCCAACGCAAACTAAAGCAGTACTCCATCTGCCCTAATTTACACTGGTGGTGTAATACATTACAACACTATACCAATCCCACTAACTCTGGACCCCCCATCTACACAGGAGGATTTCTCTCTTGAGAATCTCCAGAGACTGTTGATTCTTCTATGAAGCACCAAGTAGCTTTAGTGATGAAGAGAATGTGGACCCCATTGATTTGTTTTACCTTATATCTTGCCCACATGCTCTTCTAATTTAAATATGATAAATCAGTAAGTACTATTTTCATTGGCTTTATCTATTATTGTGTGGATTTTTAACTCAGGACAAGAAATGTTAGATGTGCAAGCTACTCTTAACAGTTGTAAGTTAAGTTTTGGGAATATGTTGACAATGATCCAAACAAATGCAATCAAGTTTAGGTAGAATTAACGAAGTCAAATACCTGATTACATCCAAATGTCTGAATGTACAAGTACCAATGCACCAAAGCGGATTTAATACTAATTAACTTATGAAATTTCTAAGGAAAATATTGAGCATGTGGGTGTTTTATTCTAACTTTTGTAACATTCATATTCTGCTTCTTTTGGCATCACATATCTATTCTACGTTGGACGGCTTTTCAGACTGGGGTCATGCTGTCTTCTAGTTGTACAGAGCAATATAACTCTACAACAGAACCCCAAAGATCTGAAAACCAGTTATGGACCGACCAATCAACTGGACAGGATGTGGAACCATAACCAATCAGGCAGCAGCAGAGACAAAAAACCAACCCAATAAATACTGTACATGTACTGCTGATTAAAAGTAGGCTCACCTGGGCTGCCTGTCCCCACGCCCATCTATTTGCTATGTGGTTTCCTACCTACCCGCTTCCCCACCCAGAATGGCATGGCTCAACTGCGAGGATTGTCCTGGAGGTGCACGCCCTGCAGAAACAAGCAGGTTAGGCCCTGCAGCTGGCTGCTTTGAGCAGTGTGCAGAGTGCAGCAGGCAGGACACTGGCAGTCCAGATACAAAGCTTTGGCAGGCCTGATCCAGCCCATGGGCCATATTTTGCCTATCCCTGCTATAATGTCTTATTCAGAGTTACAGCTTCCATTCTTAAGATCTTCATGTAGCTGAGGTTCTTCTGTAGATATGACAGCACAAATATATTGCAGGCAATATTTAATAAGATCACCTGTACTTCTGCAGCCATTCTTTCCAGTGTCTTTTATTTCTACCCAGCAAGTCAGCTGCTGTTAATTGCTGCAGTTTAGAATACTGCTCTATGCGTTCTAATTCTTTATTTATATTTGCTTTTGTTCCAATTAATGCAAACAGTTGAGGATTAGACTGAGCCAGCATTAGCATCATGGAAAGTTGTCTGCAGGGAAGAGGAAAATTATATCAGACATTAAACTAACAGGCAAGGTCTGGCTTTCTATAGCCAGGCTAGCAAGTAAGTAAAGTAACCTTGTTTCTTTATCAACCAAGCTTAATACCCAGTATCCCCCAATAGAGACTATAATATATTATGCAAAAGTGCAGTAATTTCCCAATGGTTTTAAAATAACTTATTTATTAGAAGACAGAAGTTACTAAAACTAAGAGAGGGAGAAGGCAGGTGAACAAGTGATAAAACTGCTATACAGCTCACACTAACAGTAACAGCTCCAACAATATGCAGTTTTTAGAGACCTAATAAAAAACACATCAAAAGTGATTGGGCAACAAAATGGGAAATGAAATTTAATGCTGATAAATGTAAAATTGGAAAAAATAATCCCAATTCTACATACAATATGATGGGGACTAATTTAGCTACAACTACTCAAGAGAAAGATCTTGGAATCATTGTGGATCACTCTGAAAACATATCCTCAATGTGCAGCGGCAGTCAAAAAAGCAAATAGAATGTTAGGAATCATTTAAAAAGGGATAGAGAATAAGACAGAGAATATCTTATTGCCTTTATATAAAACCATGGTACGCCAACATCTTGAATACTGCGTACAGATGTGGTTACCTCATCTCAAAACAAGATATATTGGCATTGGAAAAGGTTCAGAAAAGAGCAACAAAAATGATTAGAGGTTTGGAACAGGTCCCATACAAAGAGAGATTAAAAAGACTTGGACTTTTTAGCTTAGAAAAGAGGAGACTAAGGGGCAATCTGATAGCGGTCTAATAAAAATCGTGACTGGTGTGGAAAAAGAGAATAAAGAAAAGTTACTTATTCCCACAATATAAGAAACTAGGTGGTCACCAAATAAAATTAGTAGGCAGCAGGTTCAAAACAAACAAAAGGAAGTTCTTCTTCACTCAGCACACAGTCAACCTGTGGAACTCCTTGCCAGAGGATGTGCTGAAGACTAGGACTTTAAGAGGATTCAAAAAAGAGCTATTAATGGAGGTTAGGTCCATAAATGGCTATTACCCAGGATCGGTAAAAATGGTGTCCCGAGCCTCTGTTTATCTGCAAATGGGTGATAGGAGAGAGATCATGTGAGGATTGGAGGAGGGATAACTCAGTGGTTTGAGCATTGGCCTGCTAAACCCAGGGTTGAGAGTTCAATCCTTGAAGGGGCCATTTAGGGATGGGGCAAATATGTCCAGGATGGTACATGGTCCTGCTGTGGGGGCAGGGGACTGGACTTGATGACCTCCCAAGGTCCCTTCCAGCTCTATGAGATAGTTATATCTCCATATATTATTACCTGTTGTGTTCCCTTCCTCTGGAGCATCTGGTATTGGCCACTATTGGCAGACAGTCTAGTAGGCAAGGTGGATGTTTGGTCTGACCCCAGTATGGCTGGCCTTATGTTCTTATGCTAATAACTACTGCTAAGTTATTTTGGTGTGATTTTTAATAGGTTTCTAAAAGCTGTATACTGTTGGGTTGCATTTGTATGAGCTGTCCAACAGTTTTATCACTTGTTCTCCTGCCTTCTCCCTCTCTCAGTTTAAGTAAACATCTATTTGTTTTTGTAATACTGTACTTTGGTATGCTACATCAATGTAAGTCAATAATGGTCACCCTGGGTTAGAAAGTGGGTCACATGAGTGGCCCTCCATCTCAGTGTGCCACAAAACTACTTTAACAATACTGTCTCCCAGGATAGAGTAGTTTTGTTAACTGTGGTTAGGTAGCTAGAATTTGAAAGGTGTGCCAGTTGAACTGTAGCAGTGCTTTGACTGGAGGCGGAGAGAGCACATGGCTCTCTCAGTTAACGCTGAATAGTAATAGAGATATAGCCGTGTTAATCTAGTCTAGCTGAAACAAAAAACAGGACTATGTAGCACTTTAAAGACTAACAAGATGGTTTATTAGGTGATGAGCTTTCGTGGGCCAGCTCTTCACCTAATAAACCATCTTGTTAGTGTTTAAAGTGCTACATAGTCCTATTTTTTGTTACAGTCAATCCTGTGTGAAATCAGCTCACACCTCACTTCATGTGCCTCTGCTTTGTGTGTGTCACATTAGCAATACTGAGGAAAAAAAACATGCGGATGAAAACCAGTCTAATCTAGAAACCGTAAACAAAATGTCTCACGGGACACACACAAAATCCCAATGGGCTACAGGTTGCCTACCATCTATGTAAATTCTGAGTGTGCAGTCTAGGTAAAACCTCCAATTTTGATCTACATATGCCTAATACAGCCGTGACTGAAGTGCTGTTATATAACAGTTACTGTACTCAGTTTAGTACAGTACTGCATTAAAAAGTTTTGCTTTCATGCTACTGTGATTTATTCATTACTTCTCCTGCTCCACTATACAAAGTCTGTCTAGAGTATCCCAAAAGAACTGAGTTATGTATAATCAGCTGATATAATACTTATAAGATTTGTGTTTAGGCTCCAGATTTGATCTACCTTAAAATCATAATCTAGTAATATCTACTGGCTTCTTAAGTATTAATTTCCTCCTTTTTCAATTTACCACAACACTGGCTGGAACTCAGTTGCCCATCAGCTGCTCCAAGGTGATAAACAACCACCAGCATGTTGGTGTGACATAAAAAATATGTGAACATTTCTACCACTCCACAAAGAACTTAGAGACACTTTTTAGTCACACAAATGATTCTGAGAAAAGGGTAATGAGAAACTATTAATAGATCCTAGAAAAATATATAGAAGTGTATTCCTGAGGTAACCTGGGCACCTGAGCCAGGTTTAGACCTGCTCTGCATTGCTGAGTGGTGCAGAGAAGTTGGGAGTGTACCAGTGAACTTGTCCATAAAGATGGAAACTGGATGGTTCTGAGGATTTGTATCAGTTTGCAGATCATCTAATATATATTTTTATTGTATTTAGCAGACAATGTAAGGGACTGAAAAATACCGTTTACCTCTTAACTTGTCAGCAGTCATAATTACAAAATCACCAACTCTGACACTTATTACTCGCTTACTCAGCAGAGAAGTCCAAGTGTGAAAAAAGACAACTAATCTCTCAGGGCATGGTTAAAATGTTCTAATAGGGCAACACAGGGAAAACTCGCACTGCAGTTGATTTTATATTTGAACTTTAAAGATCACTAAGCTCACTTAAACATTAAAAAGCATACAAAAATACCAGCTATAAATTGATAGTATGCCTGAAAACAAGGATCAAAATTGTCATTGTTTACTTTTGTTGTACCTTGGATCCATCTGAGGTCTGAAAGCAACTTTCAATTCTTCCATGGAAGAACACTGTGTGGCAATCTTTTCAAGGAAATCTTCCAACTTTAGAGGATCTGAATCTACCGAGAAAGAGCTCAGCAAACGGAAAGTATTTGTGAAATCTCCACCTGGACACAAGATTTTATTGTTTAGAGATAAGACAGTCTAACTTAACTTCAACTTAGAAGTTTGCATCGTAATTTGTTTCTACCAGATATATTCAACTTTCTGAAGCAAGATTAACTTAATTTTAATTAATAATTAAGTGGAACATAATTCTCTTAGCTATTTTTCTAACAAAAATATGTCCTGTTTTCATCACTAACCTGTGATATGCATAGTTTCTAGAAGTTCAGATACCAGTTTATCATCCTCTTCTAACTCCAAATGAATGAGACCTAGCTTCTTCCTCATCTTCTGCAAATAATGCCTCTCAAATTCTGCATTATACTCCTCTTTGAGAATGAGTTCACTGATCTCCAAGGGCAGTTCTGGGACTAAAACTTCGGCAAGCTTCCCTAGATTCCACTTGCAGATCTCCGGCTGTTTGTTATAAGCATAGCGCCCTGTTTTATCTGAACCATTGCAAATGTGATCAGGGTCATATCTACAGATGAGAAGAAATGGTTAGCAGTCTTCTGCTAGTTAATGAGCTTTTGTGTTAGATCTCTAGGAAACAAGAAAGTGCAAGAAGAAAAAATGCTTTTTGTTGTGATATGTTCCCAAAACTATTAATCTAAACATGTGCTTGCATTCTCCTTCCTTCAAGTAAAGCCCCAAGTTCTTTCAAATAAAGAGAAGAGCAATGCTAGAAAATGAACACGTTATACATATACAAATGTGACTGCTACAGAAGGTTAGAAATGATTATGCTAAAGAATACAAACAATTAGGGATAACTTAATTGGACTCGTCACAAGTAAGTGGATTTATTACACTTTATAATATAGGATGTTGAGAAAGAATGAAAGCAATCAGGAAAAGCACAAAGATTACGTTGCACAGCAAACACATATTTCTACATTTCAGGTAATTAAACTATACTGACCTGTCCATAAACCCAAAAGGGCCGTAGTCAATAGTAAGTCCTACTATGCTCATGTTATCTGTATTGAGCACTCCATGGCAAAATCCAACACACTGCCAGTCAGCAACCAACCTTGCTGTCCGCTTTGTTACCTAAAAAACAAAAGACTTCAACTCTAATTATGACTTAGACATTTCTATATGTTTCAAGGGTGATGTTAACCTAAACAGTGTGATTTTGCAAACCACTACTGCATTACACTGTAGGACTTGAAATTCAGGGAACAAAAGCCTATTTCAACTGAAGCATGGCATCCTGCTCAACTAACTTAGGGTATGTCTACACTACCCCGCTAGTTCGAACTAGCGGGGTAGTGTAGACATACCCATAGTTATCTCCCCAGAAGCAAACAGCAATTTATTCCAAGTTTTAGCAACAACATTCTAGCAGCAGCTCTCCCAAATAAAGGATCTGCGCCTACTGAAATATAAATAAAATTCCTACTGACTTCAATAGCAGCAAGATCTGACTCTCAGGATGTATAAACAAAAAATTCATTAAGCTAAAAAAATGCAAGATGAAACTAAAGACGGGGTGGGTGGGTAAAAAAAAACAAATCCTGCAGGCCAGATCCAGCACACAAACATCTGGATCTGGCCTGCCATGACATAGCAGGAGACTCAGGCAGCCCCACTGTCTGCCACAGCCCCCACATGTCACTCAAAGCAGCTGGCTCCTTTATCATAGAATCATAGGACTGGAAGGGACCTCAAGAGGGCATCGAGTCCAGTCCCCCGCCCTCAAGGCAGGACCAAGCTCCGTCTACACCATCCCTGACAGATGTCTATCTAACCTGCTCTTAAATATCTCCAGAGAGGGAGATTCCACCACCTCCCTTGGCAATTTATTCCAATATTTGACCACCCTGACAGTTAGGAATTTTTTCCTAATGTCCAATCTAAACCTCCCCTGCTGCACTTTAAGCCCATTACTCCTTGTCCTGTCCACAGAAACCAAGAGGAACAAATTTTCTCCTTCCCCCTTGTGACACCCTTTTAGATATTTGAAAACCGCTATCATGTCCCCCCTTAATCTTCTTTTTTCCAAACTAAAGCCCAGTTCATGAAGCCTGGCTTCATAGGTCATGTTCTCTATAAACCTTTAATCATTCTTGTCACTCTTCTCTGTACCCTTTCCAATTTCTCCACATCTTTCTTGAAATGTGGCGCCCAGAACTGGACACAGTACTCCAGCTGAGGCCTAACTTAGTGCAGAGTAGAGCGGCAGAATGACTTCACGAGTTTTGCTTACAACACACCTGTTGATACAACCTAGAATCATATTTGCTTTTTTTGCAACAGCATCACACTGTTGACTTATATTCAACTTGTGGTCCACTACGACCCCTAGATCCCTTTCCGCCATGCTCCTTCCTAGACAGTCGCTTCCCATCTTGTATGTATGGAACTGATTGTTCCTTCCTAAGTGGAGCACTTTGCATTTCTCTTTATTAAACCTCATCCTGTTTACCTCTGACCATTTCTCTAACTTGCTAAGGTCATTTTGAATTATGTCCCTATCCTCCAAAGAAGTTGCAACCCCACCCAGTTTGGTATCATCTGCAAACTTAATAAGCGTACTCTCTATCACAATATCTACATCGTTGATGAAGATATTGAACAGTACGGGTCCCAAGTGGAGTGCCTCTTGGAGGGAGGGGTAGTGGGATCTCTGTGCACTGCTCCCACACCCCAGCACAATTCTTGCAGGTCCTATTGGCCAGAAACCAGATAATTGGAGCTGCAGCAGCAGTGCTTCCAGGCAAGCGCAGCATGCAGATCCTCTGTCCCCCTCCCTACAAGTCTGTTCTATGAAAACTAAGTTACTTTAACTTTTAAAATAAATATAATTTGTAATTATATTACTGAACTACTATTACAAAAATCACAACATGAATTATGATTTTCAAACTCTCAAAGCCAGGTCAAATCAAAACCTACTTGCACCAGAATACTAACTTCTCTTCTGATACAGCCATCAGCTTGTCAAATTTCAAACTTCCTATCCTTCCTTCTAAAGCAGTTTAAGGTATCAAAAGTAATTTTATAACAGAATAGCCATTTTACACTAACCTCATTCTCAAAAACCGTAGAACTGTCTTTGCTTAAACTTTCATTAAAATCAACCAACCGGGGCAGAGATGAAATCTAAAGAATTTCAGCCTGAGGGAACAAGGTTCCAAAAAGTTACAAGTAGGGATGTCAGCAACTAGTTGACTACCCAATAAGCAAATGCTTATTTGACTAATCACTCCCCCCACCTTGCTGCCTCCGTCACCATCTCCACAGGGAGCAGGGGAGGCAGGGCAGTGGGGAAACAGCGCAAGCGGGGATTGAAACAATCCCCACGTGTGGCTCTTGCACATTTCAAAGGAAGAGGCAGAGGGGAACTAGTGCCAGTGGGGACTGCTTTGCTCCCCTCTCCCCCTTTGAAATATACAGGAGCCGCACCTGGCTCTTGTACATTTCAAAGGGAGAGGTACAGTCGGATAGCAAGTGCCCCCCTTATTGACTAGTTGAGTTGTCAATGGAAATTCCATCAACTACTCGATTAGCTGATTAATCAAAATTTAACTAGTTAGGAGAAACAAAGAAGGGTTTAGAATGCCAAAATTTTGGAAACCTTAACTTTCTACATTCCCTTCTCCACTATTTGTCAGGTCCCTTGTTACATGCATGCATTACAGGGCTTTCAAGCAAAATACTTTATATTGTTTCCATGGTGCTCAGGACAGTGAAAAGCCATATGCCACAAGATACTCCAAGCTGCTAAATGTGCATAGAACTGATTAGGAATACGCTATAAACAAGTACAACTGGCCACATATTGCACTATGGCTTCATGCCAAAGAGATGAGATAGAACCATGGAGTAAAGTAAAGCACAGAGATACAGATTATTAAAAACAAAAGCCCCCATAATGATAAAGAAAAGTAAACTGAACTGTCTTTTGACAAGAATCAATGATTAACTCCAGTAGTGTTTTTTTAATTGTGAGGGACCATGGCAGAATACAGTGCTGTTTGTAGCATTTACAAACATCCTAAAATAAAATTATTTTGTTGCTCACAGTAGTCAGGAAATATAAGGATTTAATTTTCACAACAACTTTAGCTCAGCTACATCACATTTCTGTTAAGGTATACCAATGCTATATATGTTTTAACAGCTGAAGTAATGATTACTGAGGAAACCATAACTGAAAGCATTTAAATTATGAACTTTGAATTTACAGTCTTCCATGGCAGAGGTTCTCAATCTTTTTTATTCTGTGGACCAGCACACACAAACTTTTGGTGGACCATCACTGAAACATTCTTTATGGCAATTAATTTTAAGCAGTCGTGTGTGTATTTTTAAAGGTATCTAGCCTACAGTATATAAGGCAAATCAAAGAAAGGGGAACATGATGGTTAACAAGAATTTGAAAAACTCACACACACACACACACACACACACACTTTAAACCAATAAAATAGTTACTAACACTTTTTATTAAAGAGTATTCTCCTATCCAAACCTTTTGCCTCAATTGCACCAGAATTAAAGAGGAGGTACTTAACAGGTGTGACAATGCTGACACATTCTGCACATTCATATTTTCCAGCTTTGATGTTAAGGTCAAGAAACATTGCAAACATTTTTGCCACAAAAAATGATTGAGCAACTCTGCAAAGAAGGTGGGATGAAAGGAAAAGCCCCCTCTGCCGGGAGCCAACCACAGTTTTAGCTTCGAGATTGTTTTAAAAAAGGAAAGCAAAACTTTAAGCCAAATGTTTTTTTTAACGGCAATGGAGCTGGAGCCTGCAAGTCCAAGGAGAGAGGCAAAGGGCAGGAGAAGCGGGGCTGCGGCTACAAGGAAGAAGAGAAAAAGACAAGAAAGGGGGGGGCCAAGCTGGAGAGAGGCTGGGCTGAAAGTGGCAGAGCCCTGACTCCCACCTTGTCCCCTCATCCCACCCCAGTCGCCTGGATAGTGGTGGCCCCTGCTCTGCTCCGGCCACCCCGCGAGGGGATCTAAGCCAGATGGCAAGGCTGCCCTGCTCTGCGACATGGCCTGCCACCCCTGGAGCATGCCTGCTCACGAAGCAGCCACCCGCCACGCAGCTGGTGCGGCTGCTGCGGAGCAGGAACCAGGGCCCATAAAGCTGCCCCAGCAGGGACAGCCTCACCATGGCCCGGCTCCAGATGTGGCCTATGGGGCAGCCCGAGGCTGTGTGCCTGCTGCGGAGCAGAAACCAGGGCCAGTGAAGCTGCGCCAGCAGGAAGAGCCTCACTGCAGCCCAGTTTCAGCCGCAGCACAGCTGGCTGCCTGCAGCACCACTCGCTGAGGGTGGGAGAAGAATTTTCTGTGTGCACGCAGGCGTGCACCTTAAAAGAAATGGAGCTCCCCAGCAGGCAGAGATTATTAGCAGCTGGGGGCATGGCCTGGCAGTGTGCTGCAGCCCAGCAGGCAGGTGTTCGCAATCCGCCACAAGCCCATGGATCGACAGTTGGGAACTGCTGTTCCACAGTCAACATCCACTTTTTCCCTTTCATATTACAAAATGAAAAGAGACTTTTAAATATTTTAAATCATTACATCATCATCAGCCAATTAGTGTCCAAAACTCCTAACATTCTGATGCATTCCATGTATTATGAGTAGTCTTGTACAACTCTTCGAAAGCCACAGGACACTTGATTTGCTGGTGAGGTGGTTAATTTCTGTCTTGCGCGCATTTCAATATGCAGTTTCATCGGGAGAGTTCCCTCCAAAAACAAGAAACAGTTTAACCAAAAAGCCGCAAAGGAAAAATATTCATAAAAAGTTAATTCATCCCATATTCCTCACAAGATAAAGTTTTTATATTTTACTTCTAACAAGTACGCTGAAAGGAAAGAATTATCAGCCACATACCTCTCTGAAGAAAGCAGCATTCCTCTGAACGCTGTTGTCAGAGTAAGCCTGCTGGATTTCTGGATAGAAAGTGCTGATCACATAATTAAGCATTTGTATTCGAATATCATTTCGGTTAACACTGGGACCTTTGCGTCCTGTGTATTCATCTGTAGGTTTAAAAATCTCAAAGGATCCAAATCTATTTAAAAATAATTAAGACACTTATATTACAACAAAAACAAACTACATTTAGAAATGTTATCTTATTACAATCTCCTTAATTTAGGCCTCAGTCCTGCAATTGACAGAGAGAATCAAAGCTCCAATGAAGCTCCACAGAGCAAAAGTGTGCATCCATGTACTGCCATCAGACAAATTCGGGCCCTAATGAACATTGCTGCTCACTTTTTCACTAGCTAAGGGGAGATGCTCAACCCTCCTCCCCGATCCCACCCGCACATCACTTCCCCCATTGGTCTCAACCTCCTCCTCCCACAACCCTCTCCCTCTCTCTTCCTTCCCTTCCCTCCCCCCCCAGACAGCAGGCACTGGGGTGAGGGAGGCAGATTGGGAGCATGGCTGCATGTAGATGCTGAATATCAGCTGATCTTTCCTGTGGGTCCACCAGGTATGGAGCACCCACAGGGGCAGTAAGCACTTATCCTAGCAAGTATTGACAACTAATTTTTAAAAGCATCTTTAAAATATTCAGTGAAGACAATGATTCTATGATGAACGTATTTTATGTATACTGCTTATACAACAAATGAAAGACATCTTGCAAAAAAGTTATTGTTGCTATACAAGACATTTCATAAGCTTTATGTATTTCCTATTCCTCAGCCTTTCGTTAGAAACGTAATTTTGCAAAGTACCAAAGATCTTCCATAGATTCATGTGGTTTCAAATGGGGCCTACATTGCATCTCTAATACAGTCATATACATCAAGATCTAGATTCTGACAATTTTATTTCTTATCCCAAAACTCTTCTCTAATTGGTTTTTAAAAGTCTTCACCCACATAATAGCCACCCAGCATTAGGAGTGTCAGAAGGAAGGGTTTCATTTGCTAAGTGAAATGATTTTTTTTAAATGTATGAAGTTTAAAAAATTCCACTTGGCATAACACACACTCAATCTTTTTTTGCCTAACATTTGGTTGTTTCATTTACTAATGAATGTTTATCTGGCAGTGTGCAAATATGCTAGTGCATCCCATCGACACAGAATTCCACTAGTCTAGCACAGAACAGCTAAAATCTTACAATGAGAATCATAGATGGTTTTGTTAGAAACACAATGGCTGCGTCTAGACTGGTAAGTTTTTCCGCAAAAGCACAGGCTTTTGCGCAAAAACTTGCCAGCTGTCTACACTGGCCACTTGATTTTGCACAAAAGCACTGACGTTCTACTGTCCGAAATCAGCCTTCTTGCGCAAATGCTTTGACGTTCCCTTTCAGGCAAAAGCCCTTTTTCGGAAATGTTTTTGCGCAAGAGGGTCAGTGTAAACAGCTAAAAACTGTTTTGCGCAAAAAAGCCCCAATGGCGAAAATGGCGATCGGGGCTTTCTTGCGCAAAACTAGTCTGTGCCAATCTAGATGCTCTTTTCCACAAATGCTTTTAACGGAAAAACTTTTCCGTTAAAAGCATTTGTGGAAAATCATGCCAGTCTAGACATAGCAATGTGTTTCAAAACAGAATGCTGTAGTTTTTTTAACATGAGAAAAATTGAAAACAGGCTTCTTTTTACCTTATAAAAGTGGAAGCTATTCTCAAGACAATTGTGCATCTTTCATTTTTTGGATTTCCATCATAGAATACATCCCGTACAACTTTTGAATCAGATGTTACACATGTTCCAGCCCTTGTTGTAGGTATTCCTAGATGAAACATGGCTTCACTACACAGGAATTCTCTTATACTTGACCGCAAGACCTTCCGACCATCAGCTTGTCTGTAATAAAAAATATGAATACTACTTAGCTGTCATGTAACACTTATTTCTACACCACAAAACACTTTACAAAAGCAGGGTATCAGAATTCCCATTTCCTAGGTGGAGAAATGAAGGCCCAAAAGTCAAGTGACTTGCTGAAAGATGCAAGAGAAGCCAGCAACTCCTCCTACTCTCAATTTACAATGCATAATGGTCTCTCCTTAATAGCAAGGTGTATTTTGGAGATTATATTAACACCAATAGTAGAAATAAAATTAATGTACAGTTTCCCTCCCAATCATCTATTTTGTTGGTTTTACAGGTTCTTAAGTTTTTGTCCAATGTTATTGTATGTTATTCTAATGTAACGACTTTTTAAACGAGTAGATATTCTTAGGTAGTACTAATGTCTATTACAAAAGTTGACTGTCTCTCTAAAGAACTAATTACAACTTTAACATTAGCTGGAAAAGTAATTTTCCCCTTAAAAATGGTTATTAAGCATTTACAGGATTTCCTTATCTCACACCATGGATAAACAATCTCATTTAAAGATTAGCTATCACTGAACACAAATTACAGGTTGTACATCTAAAACCTGGGATTCTCTGGTCTGGCAACATCTGTGGTTTGGAATGATCTTGGATGGTCCAGGATCAGAGAGTATCAGCATGTTGCACAGGAGATGGGGGACTGGGAACCAGTGCACTGCTCAGCTGGACTGTGGGGGAAGGGGGCGGGAGCTGGCACCTGGCTCATCCAGGCTGCTCTCTTGTGCTGTCAGAGGAGAGCCAGGAGCTGGTACACGGCTCAGTTGGGCTGTGAGGGGGGACCGGAAGTCAGTGTGCAGCTCTGCTGAGATGTGTGGGGGGGTGGCACAGTGGGGGACCAGCAGCAAAGGGCCTGAAATGACCTCCCCTGATCTGGAAAAATCCCTCATCTGGGACCAATCAGGTCTTGAGGGTGCCAGATCAGGGAGGTCCAACCTGTACTTGAAAAGAAAAAATACACCTTAAACAATAATGGTCCTGTAGCACCTTAGAAACTAACCAAAATATATAAATAGTACCATGAGCTTTTGTGGCAAACCCACTTCTTCAGATAACAATTTGCAAACTGGCCCATGGCCCAGATATCTACAGTTTCTGAAGCTAATAGAAAAGCATGTAAATCACGGGTGGGCAAACTTTTTGACCTGAGAGCTGCATCTCCATATGGAAATTGTATGGCAGGCCATGAATATTCACAAAATTGGGATTTGGGATGCAGGAAGGAGAGTTCCAGCTGGAGTATGAACTCTGGATTGGGGCCAGAAAACAGTTCAAAGTGAAGGAGGGTGGAGTGTGTGTTGGTGCAGGGGTGAGTGTGTGTCAGGAAGACTAAGGCTCTGGCTGGGGGTGAAGGCTCTGTGGTGGGCCTGCAGATGAGGTGTTTAGGATGCATCAGGGGCTACGTCTAGACTGGCATGATTTTCCGGAAATGCTTTTAATAGAAAAGTTTTCCGTTAAAAGCATTTTCGGAAAAGCACGTCTAGATTGGCAGGACGCTTTTCTGCAAAAGCACTTTTTGTGGAAAAGCTTCTGTGGCCAATTTAGACACGCTTTTCCGCAAAAAAGCCCCGATCGCCATTTTTGCGATCGGGGCTTTTTTGCTGAAAACAACTCTCTGCTGTCTACACTGGCCCTTTAGCGCAAAAGTTTTTTGGAAAAAGACTTTTGCCCGAACGGGAGCAGCATAGTATTTCCGCAAAAGCACTGACAATCTTACGTGAGATCGTCAGTGCTTTTGCGGAAATTCAAGCGGCCAGTGTAGACAGCTGGCAAGTTTTTCTGCAAAAGCAGATGATTTTGCGGAAAAACTTGCCAGTCTAGACACAGCCAGGGTGTTCTGGGCTGGGATTAAAGGGCAGGAGGGGGAGCAGGGGTGTGGCAGGAGACTGGGGTGCAGGAGAGCTCTAGAATACAGGTTCCAGGTAGTGCTTACATCAAGCAGCTCCTGAAAGCAAAGCAGTAGCATATTCTCCACCCAGTTCCTGTGGGGAGATACTGCTAGGTGACTCTGCGCACTGCTCTGTCCGCAGACAATAGGTCCACTGCCCCCAGTTTCTGTTCAGTGGAAGTAGCAAAGCTGTCACTTGGGGTAAGAGCTGCGTGCCAAGCCCCCTGATTACCCCTGCTTCCAGGAGCTGCAAAGAGCCATAGCGCACACGGAGCAGGACAAGCCTCTCACCCTTCTTGCTGGCTGGAGTGCAAGAGTGGCATAAGCTCCCAACCCCACTCTGTGATAGGAACACAAGGGCTGGAGTAAAAGATCTGATGGACCAGATGTGGCTCACGGGCTGCAGTTTGCCCAACTCTGACCTAAACTGTGATTCCTTCTGCTAGCTGTAGCTTACTCTAGGGTTTCAAATTTCATAGTTTGGGTTTTTTGGAACCAGCTGAACTTAAATACACCCTTTATTCTGCATGAAGTCTCATGTCTTTCATGAAGTGGTTCTCAACTAATAGTTTGAAAGCTACTTGTGGCCCAATCAACAAATAGCTGCATCAGCCTATGTAACATCCTCAGGATCATACGTGCACTATAGATATTGTTTAGACACGGCCCACACAGGGATATTCAATTTCATTTAATGAACTCATCAACTAGTCAATTAGCCAATAAGCCTGGGAGCTACAGTGGAGTTTCTCCCAGACCCAGGAGCTAACCCCACTGCAGTTCTGCCTTTTAAATGTGTTAAGAAACTACTGGCTTTTAAATACATTTAAAAGGCTGCTGCACAGCTGAGAGGACCCAGCACAAACTGGGACAGCTGATTCCCAGCTCGCACCAGGTCCCCCCACTGCACTTCTGATTTTTAAATGTATTAAGAACTGCTGGCTCTTAAGTTTAAAAAGCAGAGGCATAGCATTTGGGACTGGGTGTGAGCTGGCAATCAACTAATTACTGGCTCACGCCCAGTCTTGTCTACCCCCTGCCCTGCGCAGAGATGGTGCTGGAAGGAATTGGCTTTTAAGCTGGCTCCCCCCAGAACCGGCTTCTGTTCTCCCCTTGCTGCCTCCGACAGAGGCTGGGGGGGGGGACGGGAGAATTGTGTAGTCAAGAGACTAGTCGATTATCCAATAAGCTTTTGCTTAGCGGATAGTAAACTAGCTACTTACATCACTAGGCCCACATAACACAGAGTTGCATATGTGGCCCATGACTGTAAATTGAAAATCACTGTTTTAATGTATAAATTTAAATGTAGTCAATTTTCGGACGAGCACCAAAATTAAAGGAATAGAAAACAGAAACAAGACTTAACTGCACATTGTCTGGAAAGTACAGAACAATAGGAGCTAAAAATCAGTGTCTTAATCTGTGCAAAGTATTTCACTCTCGCACTTTGGCTATGTCTAGACTGGCATGATTTTCCACAAATGCTTTTAACGGAAAAGTTTTTCCGTTAAAAGCATTTGTGGAAAAGAGCGTCTAGATTGGCACAGACACTTTTGCGCAAAAACACTTTTTGCAGAAAAGCGTCCATGCCAATCTAGATGCAGTTTTGTGCAAGTAAGCCCCGATTGCCATTTTTGCCATGAGGGCTTTGTTGCGCAAAACGGTTCTCAGCTGTCTACACTGGCTCTCTTACGCAAAAGCATTTGCGCAAGAGGGATTTTTCCCGAATGGGAGAGTCATTGTATTTGCAGAAGAACACTGACAATCTTACATTAGATCGTCAGTGTTCTTGCGCAAATTCAAAGTGGCCAGTCTAGACGCAGCCCTTGTGATTTGTTTTCCCTATTGCTTTCTCCCTATTTCTACAACTAGGGAGGCTTCACACTAACACAAACAACATGCTAACTAGCAGTTAGCTCCCAGTATTTTAAAAACCATGAAAAGATTCAAATTGAGCAGAGGTGCAGAATACAAATTAAAAAAATTGGTGTGTTATATCTAGCACTTCCACCACTGTTATCAATGCCCCAGCAATAACAAAAATGGAAAGTTTGAGGGAGAATGACTACAGAGGAAAGAAGGAAAGAAACAAATGCAAAGTGCAAGACCAGTAATTAGCTTCATCCTTCACACTAAAATATCTTCATTTTCATCACACCTCCTTTGTGTGTACTACTCAACATTATCTTTTCATTTAACCAAAAATTATGATTGCTTTGGGGGATGATGATAAATCAGGTTTAAGTGGTGTACCACATGAATGTGGCCCACAACATGAAATAGACTGATAATCAGGACAATGTAATCAGATCATTATTCATGGCTCATTAAGATGCATAATTTGAGGGGCAAAGAAACAATCTTTTAATTAAGTTTCCGTTTCTAACCTGTTACTTAGTGAGTTTGTGAATGTACAGAAATATTCATCTTTACTGAGTTAGTGTTACACTAGGTTTAATAAAGGGTATATTGCTCTCATTCTTTCATAGGTTCACTTGACAGAAGACTGCTAAATAAGTGTGTAAAACATAGGACATGAAACAGTAGGGCTATGTCTACACTGGCATGATCTTGTGCAAGAACTCTTTTGCGGAAGAGTTCTTGTGCAAAAACTCTTCCAGAAGAGAGCATCTACACTGGCATGTGCCTTTGCACAAGAGATGTGCTTCTGCGCAAGAGCATTAGCGCCAGTGTAGATGCTCTCTTGCACAAGAAAGCTCCGATGGCCATTTTAGCCATCGGGCTTTCTTGCACAAGAAATTCATGTTGCCTGTCTACACTGGCCTCTTGGGCAAGAACAGTTGCACAAGATGACTTAATCCTAAGCAGGAGCATCATAGTTCTTGCGCAAGAAGCACTGATTTCATACATTAGAAAGTCAGTGTTCCCGCATAAGAACGCCCCGCCAGTGTAGACAGGCAGCATGTCATCATGCCAATATAGACACCTTCTAAGACTACGGAACAATAGAGTGTACACAGCTTAATAATTTGGTGTGGAAAAATCACACATTGACTGGTTCAATTGGCACTGGCCTATCTGACAGGACTGTCAAACATTGAAAACTATTTATGAAGGGAATTATATGCGCGTAAGCATCACACACACAGATTTGGTATATGGGATGTTTTACTGTCTGAGAAGAGTGAATAATTGGTTTAGAAAGGTACCATGCTGGTCACTGATTTTTTTTTTCACAACTACTCAACTTTTTTTTTTTATTTATTCCCTGGACTTTAAAATAAGTACAAGCCATCTAGTTGTTGGCCCGTTCCTTTCATAAAGGCCTGGAAAACACGAACATTTCCGGGGACTCTCTCCAGTACAGCTCTCCTCGGCAGAGCGCTCCAATTAGACAGGACCGGGGGGTACTAGGAGACATGTTTAACGGGCCCCGTTTTTGGCCTCCTCCCATTAGCAGAATGGGCCAAACTCCGACCATTTAATCTCCCGCTACAGGCACCGCCGTATACCCCGCGGCGCAGCCAGCCAAAGGCCGGGACACTAGTGCGTACAAACACCTGGCGGGATGCGCTGCTCAGGTGACTCGCAGCGGCTTAAAGCCACTACGCCGAGCTCCCAGCTGCAGGGCAGCCCCGGCCGCATCTCACAGGCGGCACCTGCAGCGCCCGGGCCAGGCGGGAGAAGGCCCCACAAACTTTAGGGCCGGCGGCTGGTCCCGCAAAGCAACCCGCAGACGGGGCGGCGCCCCGGCCCAGGACTCCCCCCTCGTCCCACGCCGTTACCGGGAGAAGGGGGTGAGCCCGGCCCCCTTGAGCTGGATCTCCCAGCGCTCGCCCCGCGGGCTCAGCACCTCGCCCAGGTACACGGCCGCGCCATCGCCCAGCTGCCCGGCGAAGCTGCCGAACTGGTGCCCGCAGTAGCAGTGCGCGGCGGGGTCCGCGGCG